CATGTCTCTGAAGGCAAGGGAAATAAAAGCAAACATGAACTATTGGGACCTCCCCAAGATAAAAACCTTCTGCACAGCAAAGGAAACAGTCAACAAAACTAAAAGGCAACCAACGGAATGGGAGAAAGTATTTGCAAAAGAAATATCAGATAAAGGGTTAGTGTCCACGATGTATAAAGAACTTCCCAACCTCTGCACCTGAAAAACAAATAATCCAGTGTAGAAATGGACAGAAGACATGAACACTTTTCTAAAGAAGACATCCAGATGGCAAACAGACACATGAAAAGATGCTCAACATTGCTCACCATCAGGGAAATACAAATCAAAACCACAGTGAGATACCACCTCACACCAGTTTGAGTAACTAAAAATTAAGAACTCAAGCAACAACAGATGTTGGTGAGGATGTGGAGAAAGGGGAACCATCTTGCACTGTTGGTGGGAATGCAAACTTGTACAGCCCTCTGGAAAACAGGATGTAGGTTCCTCAAAAAATTAAAAATAGAATTACCCTACGACCCAGCAATTGCACTACTAGGAATTTTTCCAAAGGATACAGGAGTGCTGATTCGAAGGGGCACATGCACCCCAATGTTTATAGCAGCTCTATCAACCATAGTCAAATAATGGAAAGAGTCCATCAACTGATGAATGGATTAAGAAGATGTGATATACACACACACCACATCTTCATACATATATATGTATATATGGGTATACACACAAACACACACACACACCACATCTTCATACATATAGATGTATATATGGGTATATATATCTATATGTATGAAGATGTGTGTGTGTGTGTTTGTGTGTATACCACACATACACACATACAATGGAATACTACTCAGCAATGAAAGAATGAAATCTTGCCATTTGCAACAATGTGGATGGAACTAGAGGGTATTGTGCTAACCTAAATAAGTCAGTCAGAGAAACACAGATATCACATGGTTTCATTCAAATGTGGAATTTGAGAAACTTAACAGATGATCATCGGGGAAGGGAAGAAAAAATAAATAAAAACGGAGGTAAACCATAAGAGACTCTTAAATACAGAAACCAAACTGAGGGTTGATGGGGGTGCAGAATATGGGTGATGGGAATTGAGGAGGGCACTCGTTGTGATGAGCACTGGGTGTTGTATGTAAGTGATGAATCACTGGATTCCATTCCTGAAGCCAAGACTACACTGTATGTTATCTAATGTGAATTAAAAAAAGAAAAGAAAAAATAAAAATAAATAAATAAATAAATAAATAAATAAATAAATAAATAAATAAAATGAGGCAAAGTATAATTAAATATTAATGCTCTTAGTGTGTGAGGCCAGGATCAGTATTAAACACTGAAGACTTACCAGCACTGGGGCTAGGTTAAGGCAAGTGAGGCATTTACCCTGAGCTCAAAATTTAAGCTCTGGAGTAGACCAAGTTAGAATTAGTCTAAGCAGCCAACCTGGTAAAATCTTTGGAGAAGGGTATGTGCTGACTTGATCAGAGGCACAAAGGAAAAGAATCTCATGGTGAAAAGGACCAGTTTGGATGCCTAAGAAAACTCTGAGACTCATACAAGAAAAACTCCTTGCGGTGAAGGTTCCAAGACTTGGGATCCTTTTCAGATGAGGATCTAGAAGTGACTCATTGATTTGCACAGTCCTTCTGAGATTGTTAAACAGATTACTTCCACCAGCATTCAGCCAGGAGTTGAGGTTGAAGTCACCATTGCAGATGATTAAATCAACCTTTTAAATAAATTATTAGTTGTTAAAAAGAAAAAAAAAAGTAAACTGGCATACTGACAGATTAGCTACAAAGAAAGAACACAGAAAGTATATTCCTGCAAAGAAAACTAGCTTTGAATAAATTACAGTAAAATTTTGTTTTCTAAAATTAGAACTATCTGTAGGCACAAGTATTATGTCATGTGACAAAGACTAGGGCCTGAACATGGATTATTCCAGTGCTACTCATTAATAATTATTAACTGATTATTCAGCCAGTTATTAACTGATGGAGTTCTCAAACAAGATTTTTTTGTTATTTAAAATGACAAAAAATTACACTTCTGAGCTAAAGAGTTTACTGGAATTAAAGAGATCTAGCTTTCTTTATCCATATATCTGTCTCACTAGGCAGTAAAAAGGGCCAATTATAAAGGCTTGCCTCAAGAAAACAAAATGGAAGATAACAGAAGGTTCTACCTTTAGATATATTTCAGCTAATCTCAGAAGAAATGACGGAATTCAAGAATTACAATTCAGCAGCCCCTAATGGATTAATGGATGACACTGACCATCCTCAGTGACTGCCAACAGCACTACAAAGGAAACAACAGATGTTACGTGCCTCCTAATGGAATTAACACATTGTCACTTCAGGAGTGATTTTGCCAACAGAGACAAATCAATAAATCTTAATCTGAACAAGCTTCTCATTATAACTATTGAACATTATTGATGCTGACTGTCAAGTATATTGAGTTATTTTATCCCTTGTAATGTTGCATGTGATTGGCAGTTTCTATTATAAATATCATTTCTTTACATTTGAAAACCCAAGAAAAATGAAACAATTTTTAGCAAAATATAAATCACTAAATAGGTCCATAAAGAAATATAAAACTTTAATTGAACAATACAACCTGAAATTGTAGTCCTGATACATTTTCAGGGCAAATTTTGCTCTCAAAATGTACCATGACCAGCCAGGTTGAAAGGTCATTACACCAAATGATGAAGGAAAAGCTAATCACCACATTAGGTAAGCTCTTATAAGCCATACAAGAAGATGGGAAATTACTCAACCACTTTAACAGGCTAACTGTCCTTGATACAAAGGCTAGATGAGTATGCCCCAAGGCGGGGGGGGGGGGGGGGGGGGGGG